TTACTGAAATTCAATCTCTGGAAAGAAAATTGTTGCTTTTCTCCTCGCGGATGCATAAACCAACAAATCTAATTGAATATGATCGGCGATAAACATACCAATCAATTCCCAGATGACAAAAGAATCAAATTTCAAAGCCACGGAAACTACGTACTGAAAAAGAAATGGAATTTTACTTCGAGAAAGAGAAGAAGACAATTACCCTACAACTTGGCGACCACCCTGCTTGTTGTACCGTTGCAAATGCCTTCCTGTTCTCGACACCATAGGAGGAGCCACCACATTTTCTTGGGATACCACGGCCAACATATCTCCTTTTTCTGACTAAGACCCCTTTTTTGCTGCGGTGTGGTCTGTATAGAATCCCGGGAAACAAACAGAAAATCTGATTGTTTTTCTCAGAAATGTTGAAGGGAGAGGAATCGTAGAGGGGTCTGTTTCTCTTAGCGGAGGTTAACTTGAGGAAGAAGGACGCCCGAAGCTGCTCAATTTAATAATGGGTGAGAAAGAGTCGGTGTCAGCTAACTGTGGCCCACGCAGCAGGAAAATGTGCCCCGCATGCATAGAGACGACGTGGTGCTGACGCGCCACCCGACTTTTGTTAACAAACGGCCGTAGTTCTTCCTTCATTTACTATTACATTTCCAATTCCTAAGTTTTGAGGTTAAATTATTTTCTCTTCCTGAACTTTTGAAGTCACTGGCAAAGTTGTCCTCAATCTTTGAAACTGACATATTGGTTCCTCGTCCCTTAAAATGAATTTAAAATTCATTCCTTTCCATTAATCATTCCAATTAACTCAAGGGAAGCAACACAATAAATTGTTATAGACTTACATGCATTCTCCCCACGTGATCATAGCCGCGGTCACGTTTCTTTAAAATGAAAAACAGCTTGAATGCACTTTGATTCATAAGTTAAATTTTTGATTTTTTTCAAATAAATACTAACTTAATAATGTATTTTTTCTTGAAAAAAAATTTATTATAAACTTACATTAACTTCTTTTTATCAACTACAAGAAGTTGTTAATTTAACTAGATATTGACATCGCTCATTTTCGGTTGGATCATTTTTGGATGCTATAACTGTTTTGACTTATTTAGTTGATGTGGCTTTTTAGGATCCCAAAAGAAAAAAAATTGAACTTTGATTTATAAAATTTTACAAGAAGAAAAATTAAATATTGTTTTATCTAAACTTCACAATGTTGAAAAAATTGATATAAAATATCATCTAGACTCTCCTAATTGAAATAAAGATCTCCGTTGATATTTTTTTACGTTTGAGCTAGTGGGAACTGATGAACGGAATGGAATATATTCCCACTAATGAACGGAATGGAATATATTGCAAAGTTTGGTTTGAAGGTTAAGGGTGAATTTGGACCGACACTAATTGTTAAGAGCTACAAATAATTTTCAATTAAACATCTAGAGAGTATTAGATTGAACTTTGCGGCCGAAAACATGCTGCCGCAGCAATCAGCAGGTTGTCGCTTCCGCAGGGCCGGCGTCGTGCACGCACAACGCCGTGTGTTGAAATGTTAAAAGTATATACGAATGCGATGACGGTCTCCCCCAGCTCCCCAACGCGAACGGTTCCACGAATTAGCAACTCCTTGCCGGCTTGCCCTCTAGAATCTAGATGATAACCTAATTTTCAAAATATAAGATGGGTGCGAACGAAATTTGAAAACAACGATGATTATTTTTTTTATAGAAAAAGATGACCTACTTATAATATCTCATGATTTTGAAAAAAATGTCATTATATATATAGTTAATTATTTTATTTAAAAGTTAATTTATAATATTGTATATATATTTAATGATATCTTATATCTTGTGATTATAATTTTTTAATTAGTTTATACAATAATTTTTTTTTATTTCTAAACACATCTCATTTACATATTATGCAAGTTAAATTTAATATATCTTATTTTTATTAAAAAATTATTATTAAACTATTTATATCGTAAATTTAAATTTATAATCTTAGAGGTCATTTTAACTATATTATTATCAATTTTGCATGGTATAATTTATTATTAAATCTATCAAAACGTTAAAAATTGGTTCTTATCTTCTTTCCTATCTTATTTCTTTACATTCAATTTCACCTCTAAATTTAAAAACTTTCAATTTTATCCTTGAACTTTCCTTCAATTGAGTTCCTCTAATGAAAAATATCGTTAAATGTAGTGAAATTTCCTTGGAACCAAATATAAAGTTGCCTCTCTATCTCATCCTATATAGCAAGAAAAAGTAAAAAATGAAAGTTATAAAAACTGTTGACCTGGTCACACACTCACATGGTTTTTTTTTTTTTGTGACTGAGGAGGTGATTTGGTAAAATATGGGACCAACAAAACATTATTAAATTTTTTTGAGACCATCAATTCCATTTTAAATTTAGGTACCCTTTTTCCTCTACATTGGCCCACATTTTTCTCTTCAAAGCCAACCGTTTCCGAAAATCGTATATGGGCCAATGTCTACTGGGCCACAATAAATAGGCCGGCGCCCACTATATCCTCTAGAAGGAAATTGTTAGGTATGGTTTTGATTATGTACACACGAAAAAATGTCAAACTTACCTAAATTGTATCTAATTTGATTAATATTTTATTAATTTGTATTTTTAAATAATTAATTATTATATTTAAAAATATTAATTTTAAAACTAACTTTAATATATGAAATAATAAATATTAATTATTGAATAATAAAATTAAATAAAATTAATATTTTTCAAAATAATATTATATTATAAAAAAAGATTGTTAGTACGGATCACTTCAATCGCTCACCCTTTTGTCGCTTTTTTCCTGTTTGTAGTCACCATTTATGCGCCATTTATTTGAAAAAGGAAATGAAAAGACAATATAAGTCGGTGAATACCTAATTATGACGGCACATAAATACTTTGCGTGTATAATATTATTTAAGTTCATATCTGATACCCAACGACTTTATAATTATGATTTCGATCTCCAGTTGACCTCCAGTTGTTAGGTTAAGCTGTTTAAGCAATTGAGTGGGCAAAAAACTGAATATAAGATGAGAAGGAGATGGAAAGCTTGAGAAAAATTAAAACCTATATAAAATGATTTGGTTTAAAACTTAACCCTAACTTAATAATTTTTTAAGTTAAAATTTATAAGTCTTTTCAAAATTTCAATTTAAGTTATTAATAATAATTAATTTTTATATCTATATATTAAAATTACGTATAACTTTCTACTAATATGAAATTCAAGGCATTACATCATATATGATACATATATATGATAGTAACATACAACAAAATTTTTTTTTTTTTGAACATGACAATTGGGAAGAATGGAGAATAAGATTCATAAGGTTTGAGATCACAATCTATAGAAAACGATTCTTACTAAACCAAATGACTTGATTACTAAGTCAAGATGTAGGGATCGACATACAACAAAGTGAGAGGACAATCTTTCATAAAATCTTAACAGAATTGAGTGATTTACATAAATAACTCTGTCCAATCTTGACAATATTGAGTGATTTACATAAATAACCCTGTCCTGCCAAGGGATCTTTCCAAATCTGTTGACATGTACTAAAAATTCTCCATCTACTTGATTTTTTTTATTTAATTCAATAATAATCCTTTTTTTTTTAGAAATAAAAGATCCTAATAAAAAAAGATCGCATTGCCCAACCTCTTGAACTTTTGAAAATTTTAAATTTTAAATCTTTATAATTTGTTTATTAGGATTTGAATTTTGGGTATTCAATACATGTCTTTTATGTTAAAAAACTAATTCAAAACCTTTTTTTTGTAGTCTTTTAGTTGAAATATATGATCTAAAAGATGTTGCACGTGTCATACTCATATCTACTTATACTTTGCATAAATTTTATTTTTTAGATCTTAAATTCTTGTTAATGGCATAGTTTTACATCTTTCATTATAGGGTAATGATATATTTACCCTCTAAACTCACACCCTCAACCACGCACAGTCGTCTACTTAACACAATATTATTTTTTTCACAAATTCGCTTATCTTTGCTTATCCAGATTCCATTCCAATTGGGAAAATCGTCGAACTCATCAACAACAATATAGTTCCTTTGATGCTGTAAAATCTTGATGCCATAACAAGAGTCCCACTCATCCTCACCTCCATGAGAGTAAGATGGAGTCCTTGGGGTTTGATTGTCGAATTCATGAAAACAATCGATCTCATTGTAAAAGGCTTTGTGTTGAGAAAGGGGATAGAGGTTTTTGGGTATTGATTTTTTGAGTTTTCCTCTTCATTTTGGAATTTGGGAGAAGAAAAAAAGAGAGAAGGGAAGAAGAGGAACAGGGATGTCTTTTGGGTGCTGATTTTTTGAGTTTTCCTCCCCCATTCTAGGATTTGGGAGAAGAAAAAAAGAGAGCTGGAGGTTTTTGGATGCTAATTTTGGTTTTTGCGTGTTGATTTTTTGAGTTTTCCTCCATTCTAGGATTTGGGAGAGAAAAAAGGAGAGCTGGAGGTTTTTGGTGTTGATTTTTTGCATTTTCCTCCTTTATTTTGGGATTTGGGAGAGGAAAAAAAGAGAGAAAGGAAGAAGAGGAACATGGATGTCTTTTGGATGCTGATTTTTTTAGTTTTCCTTCTCCATTCTAAGATTTGGGAGAAGAAAAATAGAGAGTTGGAGGTTTTTGGGTGTTGATTTTTTGAATTTTCCCCCTCCATTCTAGGATTTGGAAGAAGAAAAAAAGAGAGCTAGAGGTTTCTAGATGTTGATTTTTTGAATTTTCCTCCTCCATTCTAGGATTTGGGAGAAGAAAAAAAGAGAGCTAGAGGTTTCTAGATGTTGATTTTTTGAGTTTTCTTCCTTCATTTTGGGTTTTGAGAGAAGAAAAAAAAAAAAAGCAGGGAAGAAGAGGAGCATGGATGTTTTTTGCCGAGCTACTATAAAATTAGGATGTTTGGAAACACAAATAAACCAATGCAGTATAAATGAGCACAAGTTTAAGCTATTCCACATAAAAAGATTGAATTATGAAATATTAATTTTTTAAAAAGAGTGTGGTTAAGGATGACAAAATGAGTATGTATGTATCATCGTTCTTTATTATATGTTTTGAAATTAGTATGATTAGATAGAACTATCCATAAGCTTTCTTTTGATGTATTTCACACTTACAATGGTTAAGAAATGAGAGAGATATTAGGCTAAAAAAATCAAATGGTTTTTGGGCAAATATACGGGGTGTGCTGCAAGGTTGAAGATGACAAAGGGGATAGCGGTAAATAGTCCACGATGATTTTTGAATTTGGTACGTAGGTCCCTAATATTTCACAAAAGGTGAAAAATAGCCCCTTCTTGTTTCAAATTATAAGAAAAATGCATCGTAGTCTTTATAACTTTTTAAGATTCCCAAATCAATACTAATTAAATCTTAGAAATATCACATAAAACTTAAAAGTCTTCAAAATTTTTAACATATGTGGCTTAAAAAATTCTAAATATCATAATGTTCCCGAAAGTGTCAGCCCCCTAAAAAAATTCTTAACTCCAACTTTGGATCCTATGTTCAAGTGGGATGGTAAATAAGTGAGATAAATTAAAAAATAAGAGATAATTATTTTTTATTATGCGATTAAGAAAAAAAACTTAATTTTTTTATTGACAAAAAATTTATTTTTATGATGTCTAGAGGGTAATCTAATTCATTACAAATCACAATTACACTTCAATTATCTTACATTTACCAAACTAGCTGCCATTCAACGCCCTAACAATTGCCAACCAGCTATTCCATCAACTCGATCTTGATTAAGTTTGAATTGTTTGGGTACATGCATGTGCTTGTAATTTTTTTTAGCGACTAAGTGATATTTTAAACAATTTACTTAAATTGACAATCAAGTTAGAAACAAATGATTTAAATGTTTATTTAAAATTTTATCATATGAATCTACCATATGTCTAACGGTCAACAAACTTAGTGATTTGTTGGCATAAATGAATAAGCTTCTTCTTCTCTCTGTAGTTGGAACAAACTTCTTAAATTGTACAGAAAAGAAATAAACTTCTTCTATAAGTGTCACATACCAAACTTCTTGTAACATTTCTTGTAAGTCAACTGATGACTTACAATCCCCACTCCATCTGCAAAAAAGAAAAAAAAAAAAAAAAATCTCCAACCAACATTCTAATGCGGAATATTACCGAATGAATCATAAATATTATTGTATATATCCTCAACTCACATGTTTCTTGAATTTTTGCAGACACTACTCCATTAAATACTTATACCCACAAAGATGAGCTTCACTTAGGGTGGGTCTGGGTTAACACTAGTTAGAAATGAAGATGGCTTCCTTCCATTCCACCAAGCTTTTGTCTTTTTTGCTTATCCTGCTTCATTCTGGAGCTGCATTTTCTGCGATTGTCAAGACACTTCCGGGTTACTCCGGCGAATTACCCTTCACACTTGAAACAGGGTATGTGTTTCTTCATTCAGGTGCAATTATTGACTTTTGTGATATGTATTTGATGCAGATTTTGATGGGGTTTTTTTTTTCGGTTTTGGGTGGGCATACAGGTACATAAGTGTGGGTAATATAGAGTTTTTCTACTATTTCGTTGAGTCGGAATCAAACCCAGGTGCTGATCCCCTTCTTCTCCATCTCAATGGAGGCCCTGGCTGTTCTGGTTTGAATGGTTTCTTTTACCAGATTGGTATCATCATCTCTTAATTTTATCTTTTCTTCTTTCCTTTTTATTTTAATTTATTTTTTGCTCCGTACATTAATAGTTTTCAAACTGTACTCAAATTACTGCACTAAAATTGACAGAAATATCCTTAATACCACTAATTTTGGGTGCATTGGCACTGGCAGCCCAACATGAGCCGGTAATGTGTAGTAAAAATTTTAGCTCACATTAAATTTTAAGTTGTTACAGAAAGAGTTGCATTTTTTTTAATAAAATTTGCATTGTTAAAAAAAAAAATAAAATAATTGGGTGCATAGAGGAAAGTCCGAAGAACGTTTTTAGTGCTCAAATCAAAAGTGTTGTCAACATAAATATTCCCAGCTCAGGCCGCCGTGAATGCAGGGTAAAGACCATCCATTTTTTTGAACAAGGAAAATTACAGGGGAAGTGGGAATGGGGAAGGGAATTAGTCAATCTATGGGTTGAAAAAAGCACCAATAACCTGTAAGTCTAGCATAAATATTAAGTAATTGGTGAGACTTAAACTTTTAATCAATCTTATTCAAGTACAAAAATTTAAGAACAAATTATTAGACTTCGAAGAGTTGATTCAAGAGAGATCATCCTCATCTAAAAGTCTATGCTTCACTATTAATGATTTAAATAATTCAGTGATCATCTTTTTTCACTGAAAATAAAAGATTTTAAGTTTGAATCGCATGGTATATGAGTAAGGTTGGATAAAAAATGTAAGATAATTGTTTTTTATTGTACAATAAAAAAAAAGTCTATATCTCACCTTATAATGGTACAATTTAAACAGTAAATCAACTGTGCTTATCAGCTCGTATCCAAATTCTAAGATTTTTTAACAAATCTCATAGAATTTTTTTATTTTTTATTTTTTATTTTTAGATTATATAATAAAAGATAATATTTTTTTATATATTTTTCAATATTGGATCTTATTTGTTTCTTGCTAGGTTTTTTTTTTCTTTTTTGGTAAAAATTTGTTTCTTGTTAGTTGTCAAGTTTGAAGGCTTTCTACCCAAAAAATAAATTATAGGGTTACCTTTATCCAATAATTAGTGACATCTATAAATAAATAAGGTCCTCTTGGAGAAGTGTTTGTGGCTCAATGGCCACGCATACATTGTTAAGAGCATTCTCATTCTTATAAGATGTGTGGGGTCTAAGTTCTAACTTCGTGTTCAAAAAAACAAATTAAGGTCCTCTCGGAACCCAGAGTCTTGGCCCAGTGAAATCCATCACAAATTTACACTGCAGGCCTATTCTGGTTGCTTTATAGACAGCAGGCCCATTCTACGGGCACGTCTTGTTAATTGTTGTTTTTGCTGCAGGCCCACTGAAATTCAACATCACAAATTACACCGGGGGCCTACCCCAATTGTTATACGAACCAAATACATGGTCAAAGGTATAAAATTGAACACCAAACAAAGTTTTTTTTTTTTTATCAGCTGAACACCAAACAAAATGCTTGTAGTTTACACATTCTCTGTAAACTGATATGGTTTGCCTTTTGCAGACAGCCAACCTCATATTTCTGGACTTCCCTGTGGGCGCTGGTTTCTCATATGCCACAACTACAGACGCTTGGAGCACAACAGATGTTGAATCAGCAGAACACGCCCACTATTTCCTAAGAAATGTGAGTTACAACTTAATACACATAAATAAACATGCTTAATCCTGAAGAAACAGGAACAGCTCGCTTTTATGAGATTCTGTTTAGTATTTTTTTTTTTCTCTGCATTGCAGTGGTTGACAGAGCATCCAGATTTCCAGACAAATCCAGTCTACATCAGTACCGACTCCTATGCAGGAATACATGGTCCAATCATTGCTCAATATATCTTGGAAGGTGATTTACACTAATGACTGAACACCATATAATATAGCCAGTTTTGAGCTTAGCAAAATATATGTAGGCTTATGTTTTTGCATGGATTTGGCAGGCAACACTGCTGGACTCGACCCAGTTGTGAATCTCAAAGTAACGATCCTGGATGATCCTTCCCCTTTTTTTTTGGTTTCAAATGAGTACATCTATTGCCAAGCTGAATACAATTTTCTCTGAATGATTCCAGGGGTTATCACTTAGCTGTCCACACACAGATACCGTTATTGAAGCAAACGCAAAAATACCATTTGCTCATCGGTTAGCACTTATTTCAGATGAAATATATGAGGTAAGTAAAGAATACCATTAGATTTCCTACTCGAGTTGTTTGATGAACTTCATAGCTCAGTAGATTTTTATTTGGTTGTTTTTAGTCAGCTGTAGAAAGTTGCAACGGAATATACACAAATATTGATCCTGCTAACACAGCATGTGTAGAGGCTATTGCTGCTATAGATGAGGTTTGTGCGTTTTGACATTTTTATTTTACACAGCAGCACTCAAGAAACCTCAAGGGTTACTGACAGCAATGTGATTAAATTACTTTGTTCTGTAGTGTACCCAATTAATAAGTATTCAGAATGTTTTGGATCCAAATTGTGCATTCTTGTCTCCACAAGCACAAGAACTAAAAGCTGGAAGATATCTTAGAGGAAACAACAAAAACAACATCCTTTTATCCCCAAGAACAAGATCTGATCATGACCTTTACTGCCATGTAACAATCTCTTGCTCTGTCTCACTCTATATATCTCTGCATACTCAAGTTATTTGCTAATGTCAGTGTCTAGAAATAACTCCTTTTGTGTGGCAGAATTTTGCTTATTTGCTCAGTCCTATTTGGGGAAACTACAAAAGTGTCCAAGAAGCACTCAATGTGAGAGAGGTAAGTGATTAATTTCACTAGAGGAGGGAATGAAACTTATTGGACTAGATGGAAGATGCATGCTAAGGAGCATCTTATAATTGTCATGTCAAAGCAGGGAACAGTTAGTGAATTCTTTAGGTGCAATATTAGCTTATCCTACACAGTGGATGTGGATTCTGTTATCCCATATCATCAGAATCTAACCAACAAAGGCTTACAACTTCTGGTTTTCAGGTGATTCTCTCATTCTTGCATGTCAATATTCAGCTGTGAACAATGTTAGTAGTATATGAATATCAGTTATAAGTACATACCTCAAATATATGTCTGCAAGACTATAGGAAGTATCATGTCTCAGATACACATGTATGAAGGACTTCTCATACTAACAAATTTTCAATTGGTGCAGTGGTGATCATGACATGGTAATGCCACACAATGGTATTGAAAAATGGATAGGATCTTTGGATTTAACAGTTGACACAGACTGGCGACCATGGTTTTCTGATAGTGGTCAAGTTGCAGGGTAAGTTTGCAAAAATTGTTTGAACACGTTTCATTCCTAATCAATTGTTTTAAACTTGTCTTCAGGAGTAAAGAAGTGACAAGGTTATGTGAAATCAAATTTATCTAGGTACACTGTGAAATATACAAACAGCGGATATCGCTTGACCTATGCAACTCTTAAGGCAAGAGAGTTTCCCATTTAAATTCATTTCTTGCTTTGCTGATCCATGAAAACATGATGTTAAACTCTTCCCATTTCTTTGGCTTGCTGTGTAGGGATCTGGTCATTCTCCAGCAGAGTACAATCGGGAGGATTGTTACACCATGTTCCATAGATGGATTCATTACTATCCTATATAATATTTGATTTGAAGATTGGAAAATCTTGATTTGGTTTAAGTCAAATGTAGCAGATACATTCCACAATGGCACAATGTGGTTCCTGTATTTTGTTTTTTTGAGTTTTAACTTCAGCTGAACAATGAGGTAACAACATTGGAATAACATTCAAGATCAGTAGACTGTCTCGGCAATGTGTTGTTTCCAAATAACGCTTTTCTGACAATTCTTCGCCACTCGGCCTCGAAATCTTACATTCCATTTTTACAACATAGAGAAGTCATTTGTATCCAGGGGATTATAAGATTCCTATCAACCCGTAAATCTTTACAGAAAAAAGCTAACTTCGACGTAGAAGAACAAACATAATAATAATAATACAACTTACAAGACAGAAGTGATTTTACTAAGGGGGAATAAAACGAGTAACCTGTTCACTCGGACAATTGATTAAAATTCATCAGAATTATCAGACGTCGCGGGGATTTCTATCACCTCACCACATGGTTCATAGCTTAATTCTGAGTCATCAAGCAGCAGCAGTATGATCTACAAGAGCATTTCATTAACAAAATGTCAAATCAAACCAAAAAAATGGGAAAAAAAGAACTCTTATGCAGAAATCTCTTGGAGCATCAATAAATTAGCTAAAAAAAAAAGGAATTATTGACCTCGGAAGTGAACTAGCAACTCCTAAACCTGACAGTTTTATGAGCGGCGGCAGCACCAATTGGAAGGTAGTTCAAGAAATTTTCCGAAAAATCGTCGAAATTGGAAGTGTTGTCTGGAATATGGGCGCTGGAAAAGGAAGCAACAAAGCCTACGACTCGCACAGTGGATGCCGACCGCTTCTGGATTTTTCTGGGGGATTTTGAATTGAAGCGGGGGTTTGTTATTTTTGAATGGGCCGATTTTTCTTGGCCCAGGTTAATGTTGGCCTAATTCGTTCTGGATAGGGACTTAAAATTTTTTTTTCTTTGCCATTTTTAAAAATTTTTTAGAGTTTTTTTTTTTTCTTTTCTGAACAAAGGGAAATTTTTGGGAGAATGGGAAAATATTATAATATTCCAATAATGACTTGAACCTTGGCCTATTAATGCACATTATCAGTCCACGGAAGACTGCTAGTGCTAAATTTTTAGAAGTTTGGAACTTCGCTCATAAGGTTAAGTGGCCTCTGCCACTTTAAAGGTTCACCCCTTTCCTCGTGTAACGATTTAATCCGATTTTATGATAATTATTTAAAAAAAAAAAATTAAAGTTTGATTGTGAACCATGTGAGGGGGAATAGTCACCGTAACCCACAAGTAGTGTCTCAAGTAAAAATTAGACTCTAAATTATTGGTTTTAAGTTCGAACTATAAGACTTGAGGCTTGAGACGAGTAGAAGAAAGATGTAGAAAAATAAAAAGTTATTTTTTATTATATAATCATCTTAGATATACTAAAATAGTGATTTTGTTTTTTGTTTTTTGTTTTTTTTGTATTTACTAGTAAGGTATTTCAAATTATGTTGCAGACGCCTCAAGACTAATCATTTCCTAAATGATTTAAACACCCACCTCCCACATCGATTTGGTGCATTTAAAATAATTATTTTTTTTGGGTGTTGAGTTTAAGATTTAAATGTTGGACCTTACTTATTAGACACCATTTGTTTACTAGTAAATTCACCCTTTGAATTAGTGATTTTCTTTCCTAAATTCATGTTTTGAAGGTTTAAACATTTTCTGTTCAATTTAAAATTTTTAAGTTCTAAATTTTTAATTTTTTATACTGAACCCTTTTATATTTAAAAGTTATATTGTATCCTAACTAATTTAGAATTAAATCACATCGGACTCTATAAAAAGAAAAATTCTCCTAATGTTTATTCTCTATTTATAAGATTCAAACTTTATATTTTATTTAAAATGAATCAAGTTTCTTCCACTAAAATCAATAAATCCTTAGTTCTAAGTTTCTAATTATGAATTAGGTATGAAACTTTTTTATTTGAAAAACAATAATTTACTACTAGTGTGTGTGTTTGAGAAGTGGGAATTGGCTTGCATCACTTTCGCCCTGCTTAAAACTCGGCAGTGGATAGGATCTCGTACTAATAGATATTTGGAGTTTTCTTTGAATTTGCATCATCTCAAAAATGGAATGGATTAATTTGATACATCTAAAACTTGTTTTGTTTAGAAAGTAGGTGATCAAAACCTAAAACCAAAAAAAAATGAAGAAGACAAGCTGTAAGAGCAGGTCCGAGGTGCCCAACCTTGGACGGACAACAGTAATTCCTTTACAACCAGAGTAAAGGGTAAATCCAGAGCTTCCCGCTCGAACAGCTACACAGCTGTTACGATAGACATCCTTGCATCTAAATATATCTCAATCTCCCCGTCCCGAAATAACTGCCTTAAGATACACATCAAATCCCGAATATCTTGCTTGGCTCAATCTCATGGTCCTCAAATAACTGCTTGGAGATACACATCGGATCCCGGATATTTTGCTTGGCGTCTTGTTTGGCATGCTGCGTGGATTCTCCATCGGAACATATAAATACCCCTTAAAGGCCACACCAAAAGGTAATTTGAAACCAACCCTAAGCTTTTTGTTCCTCCGTTCTAAAGGTAGCCCCGATTATTGCTGACTTAAGCATCGGAGTGTCTACCCCGATGATTCACCTCGGGGCTTTGCAGGTCAATCCAGAGTGCAGATACGGACTGAAGAAGGACTTCTGGTTTGGTGCAGTTACACAATCTATGTGGAATTCATAATTTTTTTTTCTTTTAATACCATACCCTACTACATATAAAGATGGGAAGCCACACTAGGAAAAGAAAGAAGAGAAAAGGACCATGTTATTGTTGGCCAAGATTGGATTTGGATTAAGATGCCTAAGGTCTTCTGGCAGAGGTATAAGTTCCTTAGGAGTTTTCTGCTAGCTAGGAATGAATAAGATAGCTTGTAGAAACAATGATCCCCCAAAGTTGATACACAGAAGCATAAAGCCTGAATGGGGCAAGTGGAACACCTAGTACTCTCCAAGAGAAGTTCCCTCTTCTGCCTCTCTCTGGTTGGAATTCAAAGCTAAAAGCATGTTCCTAACATTTTTCTCTTTCTTTTCCCTTTTTTTTTTTATCAAAAAGAAGTTAGCCGAGTTGGTGGCCTATTGTCCACTAATTAAAGAATTTTAATTTATGGTTATGATAAGAAATTTAAACTCTCTTGATATATCAAAAATATATTTAATTTTTCATTTTTTTATTTATTTTGAAGCTTTGTTATTATTATTTTTTTATTTATTTTGAAGCTTCGTTATTATTATTATTTTTATATTGGTTGCACAATGGAAAGTAATATTCTCTCATCATTTATTCTCTTATCTCAGCTACTCGCATGCCATATTATTTGAATTTAAGATGTCTTACTTCCAACAAAAAGATATTATTATTAAATTATTTAAGTCGTTGTATGAAATTTCGTTATTTGATATTTATTTTTATATGAATATAATTAACTTAAAATAAGATTAAATCGTTGGTTTCTTCAATGAAAACATGCACGTAC